GCACTTTTATTGCATTGTGGCGCTTGAAATTGGACTCGTGTGGAGTGTATTGTTGGGCCCCGTGTAATCTGATTGCCCGTGCGGGCGTAGTGAGCTGGATAGTATCAGGTTCCAGCCGACTCTGCTGGGTCAACACACGGCCGGGGCCATTAAAGGAAGTCTGGTTCAGGGAAAGTTCACTGCTATTTTCTTTTCACCATAGCAGCAAAACAAGAAAGGCAGAGAATGGATGTGTAACATATTTGTGGCCCCGGCCCAAAGCTGGCGGGGGCCTATTTTGTTTCCCTAATTGAAGCCAGAGATATGAGGGGCCCAAATGTCTTTAGTACAAATATAAATAAAAGATGAAATGAAATTCTTCCATGACTGATCCCCCGGAACAGAAATATTAATGTCTGAACAAGCCCAAAGTGAAATATAGACAGTTTCTTTTTCTTTCTTTTTTTCTTTTGGTGAAACGTTTTAAAACGAGCTAAAAAGATTAGAAAATAAAGCATCTAATAGGAAATGAACCAAAATCCCAGTGATAAATCCAGTTGTGCTATCTTTTTTCTGCAATAATGGCCTAGTTTGGAGCAGTTTCTGTGCCAGGCTATTTAAGGAATCAGCATCTGCTGCTTGATAAATAGCCTGGCTGTTTTGTTTTAGGCCAGGTTGAGTTCCTCTCTGGACCCCAGCACATTAGCCTGGATGGCTCCCACTGTCCACCATCTCTTCAGGCGTTAGCTTGCGTAGCTCTAGTTGTGGTGTTTTTGGACAGTGAATTGCGTGATTTAAGGCAGCCTAAAGCAAGGCTGCTGTATTTTTTTTTAGTACAATTAACATGTGAGTTAATGTACTGTTTCACAGAAAAAAGAACAAAAATACATTCAAGACATTCAAAGAATAACAGTAGTGTTTAGGCATTCGTTTTAAAGAAATGGCTAAAATAAAACAAATATTAGCTGATAAAATTATGTGACTTCATGAAGCTGTAAGGATTTTACTGCTGGTTTAATAGCGCCAAGAGTTTCTTAACATCTAAGGTGTTTTTTTGGGGGGGTTGGGGTAGGGCTCCAGCGCTGGGGAGCATAAATGCTAAATGCCCACGCTGATTTTGCTGTGCTTTTGATAACTTTGACAGAATAGCTCACTTGTGAGTGAAGCAACTCTGATTTGTATTTAAGCCCATTATAATTCAGTTCCTTACAGACTATTAATAAGATTGAAATACCTATCGTTTCACCAACAGGAAGCCAGTCCAGAACGATAAGGACTGGTGTGATCCTGATCTTGGTCAGGACTCTGGCAGCAGCATTTTAGAAGCACATGCTAGTTTCTCGGTTTTAAAGAGTTAGCAGTGCCCGAATTATCCTATTTTTAAAAGAATGTTGAATAGAACAGAAGGTATATTTGGTTTTCATCATGCTATCTAGTATATTTTTTTTTTAGCTTCATTAAGTGTAGTTCGTCCCTTTTCTCTAACCTCTAATCACAACCGTTTTATATGCTTTTATCTGGCAAAAAATGTGTCCCCTTCCATTCATTTACTTTGGAAACACTGATTTTGCAGCTAGAAAGGACTGTGGTCGTATGTTGACCCCAATTTATATACTGTAGATATAAAGTTTAGTCTCATTGGCATATGTATTTTAAGATATTACCCTGAACTTGAGTGAGCATGTAAATATAGAATAAAAGTGACCTGAGTATGGAGCCTTGAAGAATACCGTATGGGATTTTTCTTGAGCAGATTTATAATCTAAAGCAAAGCAAACTAGCACCAGACTCACACATTAGATCAGAAGTTTGTCACAGCTAAAAAAAGGAACACATACATAAATAAGACATATTCAAATGTCCTCCTACCTTTTATTGTCAAAAACACGTTAAGGAGCATCGCACAGAACTGTGAGACTGGAAGATCGAAATATTAAACAAATCAGTGAGTATTATTCTGCCCCCCTTCTTCAACAAATTGTTTGCTATTTCTGCAAATACAGACGCCCACTCAGCCGTAAGGAAAGGAGACAGTGATATTATTCCTGAGAGCCCTTCCTGTTGCTCGGAGGTTCCTCAGTTCAAAGCGTTTCAGTTTCTGTATTGCTTTTCATGGCCGGCCAGTGTTATTTGTTTGGAGAGAGTGGTTGAAATGCTATCCCCCTTTAAACACGCGGACATATTCTCTGGCAGACTATCTAAACATTAGGTGTACTTAACCAGGGCTTTGTGACGGAGCTTTGACATGATCTAAGGTTGATGTGACATTTCTTTTTGGCCATTTGAGAGCGTTTTTCTTTTTCTTTTTTTTTGCTTTTAGTATTGTTAGTGAAAAAGAGTTTTGTCCCTCCTATACCCTCTATTGAGTTCTTTTATAAATAATTCAGGCAGAGTACAAGTGAAAGTGATGACAGCAAAACTGTCTGCGATTTTGCCCTCTCATAAGATCAAAGAGGTGCTTCTATAGGAATAGGAATACCGTTTCCAGGCCTTCGCAGGGTGAACGACTGCTCATTTTTCTTTCTCCCCTTCTCCTCCCTTTTGCCCTCCCCAGCTGCCCTCCTCCCTTTACTGTCATTCGCTCCCCCTCTTGATACTTCTTTCTGTCTCTTGTGTTTCCCCTCCAAAAGGGGGACACAGTTGGGTGAAAGTCTGCTTTTAGCCCTAAAACCTCCAGAGCCGGCGTGTATATGAAAGAGTCAGCATATTCAGACAGACAGCGTGAGTGCACTCTATTAGCACTGGTGAGGTAAATAAACCTCACAAGACATGGCTGAATAAATTCAACCACTAAGGCTGCTGCTAAAGCCACTGCGTCTGTCTTCAGATACCGCCTTTGGGAAATGTAGGGAAATGTACTGTAACGCAAACAGCCTCATATATTGTACTGGCTGATAAAGTCTGGAATAACACTTTACAGTTAGATAAGAGGAGCTCGTTTTTGTTGGACTGGAAAACCCAACTTGTATTTCTTTGATTGGGGGGGCGGGTTGTGATTTGAGTTCGACTTTTGGAAGGTCTGTAAATAAAAAGAGGGGAGGGCGGAGGAGCAACTCTGACAGACGGACACATCTGCTGGGTCGGTGATTATCAGAGCAGATCTGTTAAAGTTTCCAGCAATGGTCACTGGACAGATAAGCCACAAAACATGTAAATAGTTGCGTTAGCATGGGACGAGGGGCTGCTGAGGACTCAGCCCACCCTTGTGGTGGCTGAAGGACACAGCAAATGAACTCAACAGAAACTCTACAAATTAAACATTTTAATAAAGGAATAATTAATTTTGCATGTTGGCCCAACTAACACATAGGCCGTTTGCAATTCTTATGGGCTTAGATAAAAAATAAAAATAAAAAAACTAGAAGAAGAAGAAATTGTCTATTTTCATCAGTAAGGACAGGATTTTGGTCAGTTTCGTTGATGACGGTTGCTACTTTTAGGCAAGTGTAGTAAATTAATTAAAAGCAGATTTGTAAGTAGTTGCATTAGCTGAGGATGAATTATGGGTTCATCCCGGTTGCTGGATTGACGTGGTTCTGTTAATCGTGAAATGAAAGAGAAAGCTAAAAGCCTGGCTAATTTGAGACAAATACCTGTTTGTGTGTGGTGGCTGACATTTTCCATTAAAAGGAGATCTTAATTTTTTTTGTAATAATTTTGCACTAATCATTTTTTAGCATTTTTGGGACTTCACTGGAGAGTCACAAAAAAAAAAAAAAGGCACCTTGGTTGCACTTTGAAGACCCCTGCATGTGATGCATCATTTCACTTAAAAAACAAAATCCTAGCCAAGTAAAATCTTTTTTTTTTACAATTGAAGAAAATCAAATGTATAGTTCTGGCATGTAAAAGTTGAAATTCACATGTTTGCTTGGCTAGATAAAAACAAAACAAAATCCCCTCGTCTTCTTGTTTGACCACTTTGGCTATTTACAGCAGGCTACAGAGATCATATTGTGTTTTAAAGATAGACTCAAGTCATTTAAGACGGAACTTTGTATTTCACAAAAGCTTGAAATGGACTACTATGCGAAATAATGTATGAAGCCAATATGTCACCTGTGTCAAGTCACCATAATTCATCTTCAGCTGAGACGCACAGCCAGTGCTTCATAAAGAATATGCCTCTACAGGATCTCGGTCCCTCACATGGCCCCGTTGTGTGTGTGTGTGTGTGTGTGGTTTTTTTTTTTTTTTTTTTCCTTTACCCTGTAGGCTTTTCTTTGCAACTATAAGCCTGCAAAGTAGGTATTGATTGAAACTCGAAGCTGTATTAATAAGTGAATGAGTAAGATGTGAAGAAAGTCAAGGGTGTATCTGCTTTGAAGGCCTTTTTCTTCTCCACAGCGAGGTGGCACAGTCATTTATCATGGCTGGATCTGTGCCCCTCGTTTGGTGTAATAAAACTCCCCCATCAGAACCGTCCAACAGGTCTGAATCACTCTGTCACACCACCTTCCAGCTAAGGCACGCATTAAATCAAGCAAGCAGAACATTTCCTAAGGCAGCCATTGCCTTTTAATTTCCTGAAGAACCTTAAAATATCATTCATTACCAGAACTACACATATTTGGTTTTTAAAAGTCTCATAAATCAATAGTGGCCTGACTGCAATAATTATAACAAGTTAACATGTAATTTCCAGGCCGAGGGCCGAGCGCTGGATTTTAGCATATGCAAACGAGGCAATTCAAATAGTGTGGGGATATTAATACGGGGGAACAGGTAACGAGGTGCAGGTTATGAATTATGCATCAAAAAGTGGTTGATCTTCAATAAAGGAAATGAATTCAGCGTGTAATCTAATTAGTTATGGAAGTCTATTATGTCGAGCTGCAGAAAGCAACTGTCCTTGAAAAGGAATTTATTTACAGTACATGTTAGCTCTTTGGAATGGAATTGCATTCTGGTAAGCTGCAAATGTTAACACTAGCACCCCCACCCCCACCCCCACCACCTCATCTGCTGCCCTCCCCCGCCCCCTTGTCTCACAAGTCGAACTTTTCTCTCCTCTGTCTGCAGCTCCAGACCCGGACGGCCTCCGAAGAGGACCCAGAGCGTGACGTCGCCGGAGAACCCCCACATCATGCCCCACTCGGTGCCTGGACTCATGTCCCCCGGCATGATCCCTCCCACAGGTACGGTTCGGATCTCTGCTGCTCCCATATGCGGGCCGGTATTATGACTCGGAGTTAAAACACCGCTGTTTCGAAATCAGAACCCTATGCCGCTTGAACAAAAACTGAGCAGAAAACACGATGCAATTGCTTTTATTTATATTCGAAAAACAGCAGTTATTCTACTCATGCCTGTTTTTTGCTGCAAAGAATAACCCAAAGTATTGATTATGTGGTATAATCAGCACACATACGGACTCCTAAGTGCTATTTTAGTGGTCATAACCTATATTATATTCAAACTCCATGCAGAAAGGCCTCCAGCTGGGATTCAAACCAAGGATCTTCTTACTGCGATGTTTCAGTGCTAACAACTGGACCACCATGCAGCCTTTTGGCATCATATTTGATGCTATTTTTATTTTGATTCGTATATCTTTTGCAAAACTTTTGGGAAAAAAAAAAAAAAACAGCACAACATTTTGTAGTTATCAAGTGCTTATTGTGCAGAAAATGACACCTTAAGCGCTACCACTACCAAACAGAGAATATACTGAGTTGATATTAGCTGGGTAATTAGTCAGGATATCTGCTTCGTTTGCAGCTTTGTAGTCAGGTAGTGTTAAAATATGATGATATTCTCGTGGCATCTTGGGTTAAAAATAGCACGGTATCGCAGTGTCATTCTGTTTACAAGAAAAAAATATATATATAAGCTAAAAAATATAACAAGATGTGATTGATTTCTGTTATCAGAAACAGTTCTAACGTCTCTCATGAGCAAATGAAAGGCGCAGTTGCCTTCTGTCAGCCAGCTGAGTGGCAGTGCACAGCAACATGTGGGTCTCAATCTATGCAGCATTAAAAAAGATAGTCTCTGGTCACTTTCTCTGTAGTTTGGAAACATTTTTTAAAACCTTTTAATGCCTTGATGCTCATTGCCCATATATGTAGCATTTTATTTTATTTTTTTTTAACATTTTGGTTTTTATTCATAGACTTTGAATAAAGACGTGCTAAATTGGGTAGTAGTTTCCAAGCAAATGTGTTTGCTCCATAAAAAAAATCTGCTCCACATAGATGAACACAAGCCTATATGAGGAAATTTAATTAGTCAGGTTTTCTGCTTCAGTGGTCGTCCTGTAGTGTCCTGCTTGCCACTTCCGTATTTTCAAATTTGTTCAAGCTGGAGGAAAAAAGTCATTGGAAGCTCCTTTCAGCCAGCTGACAAACGGTGTCAGCGGGGAGGCACCAGCTATTCTGTGCTGGATTGTTAAAGCAAGAACACCCAAGCTCATTTCGCTTAAATGACTTTAAATTGTAGGAAAAACATTATGGATAATTTTAGTGGATTTGAAACCAGAGCTTATTGAAACCCTCATACTGCTAACCAGCACCATATCCAGCTGTATGCTCCTGTTGCTAAGGCTCTTATTCTCTCTATCTGGGTGACTTCTCGTTCTCTTTCTTTTTTATTACACACACACACATACTGCCTCCCTATGAGTGGCCTCCCTGCAGCTTGTCCTCGAAATGGCAACCAGTCCAAAGTGACACATGCACCCAACCACCAGACACCAGCCGCTCACTCGCTTTACCAAAAACAGATCCTCCGCTCAACCCTCCCCTCCGGAAACCAAGAGCAGGAGAATAAATTGGACTGGAGATCTTTTCTCTCAGATTATTCCAGTAGATGTTGCATTTTGCCTTGAGTGCATTCTAATTAGTGCGATTAAATCCACTCCACTGGTATATGTACATAGGCAGTGGTGATGCTAAAGCAAGCCTTATCGCCACAAGAATCAACAACAAGCGTTTGTGCCCCAGCTTCGCCCCGAGGCCAAGTCTTATTGCAACTAATGCTTTTGTTCTATTTGTGGCTGGCTTCGTTTGTGGGCGCTTTGATGTCGGTGGCTCTAAGTGCTCTGATTTGCATATTTTCCTGTCCTTCCTGATATGTCTTTAATGATACTGTGCTGTCCAAGGCAACTTTTGCTGTGCCGTCTTGGTGTGCGGCACATGCTGTGCGTTTTAGCCAAGTAGAAAACTGTGGCAGATCAAACCACCGGAGCAGAGTTTTCTTTTTTTCTTTTTTATTTATTTATTCCAGATAACCTTTCGCTAACAGATTTGCATTCGCAATAACAGCTTTGTCGGGAGATACTTTTTCCGTTGGTCTCCGGTGTGGCGAAAGCATCTGTAGGGCAAATAATAAGCTGCAGCTAATCCATGTGTTCAAATACAGCAAACTCTCACAGCCGTGGCTGCGGCTTTGAACTTAGAGAGCGGGGTGAGGTGGCCCGCACAATGAAAGGGGAACTTAAAGGCCAAAAAAAACAAAAAAACACGAGACAGACAGACGGACAGTGATGAGAAAGACGGGTTATTTAGTAGAACATGAAGCAACAAAAGGAGCCTTTTGATATCTTCCCCTTTAGCTCCAGAGGGACTCTGTGATCTTGACATTTTGTCGGGGTATTCAGGGGGCACAGATGAAGTAACTGAGGTTCTTCTCATAACTTCCCTGACGCTTCCCTGCTGGGGTGTGACAGAAATTTCCCAGCACTTTTTAATCGTTTTTAATGAATAAAAAAACCAAAAACAAATAAAAAAAACGTATTGTTTCTGATGATGCTATCAAACGCTCCTAAGAAGTTCCAGGTTTTTAAGATAAACTTTTGTTTATCTATACATTGAGACAATAAGCTTCAGAGAAAGTGACTGGCACGTAGCATATTGTAAGTAGTCGTTGGTTATCATGTTGCGTCCAAATGTTTTCACTCACGATAACAAGAGAGTATCGTAAACACAGCTCCGTTCATGCTTATGGAAACCCGAAGGTATACGAACAGCTTGAGAATAGATTTGTCTTTTGTTGGAGGAACGTAATCTCACTTAGAACATTTGAGAACAAAACAACCTTTGATATGAGTGTGTTTATCCAGCAGGGGGAAAATCCTGTCATTAGAAATACAGTGGAATACCAATTGTTGGTTTAGTATTTGCAGATTCATCTATTCATGGCTCTTTCAATGGAAAGTAAAGTTTTCTTATCACATTTTGGCTAACTAGCACCCAGGCAACTAGCACCATACCCTATTGGGTGGAATTGGCAAAGCAGCCAATCCAGAAGCACGTTTAATTTTCTCTGTCACTCATTGGCTGTATCTCCAAGAGCAGAAAAAGGGAAGACAATAGTGCCAATAAATGTGGCTGCTGGCGTAGTTGCATTCTAGTCCTGTGTCACATTTATTTTTATCTTTTCTGTGTTTGCGTCCATACATAGAAATGAAATGTAGGCCGAAGCATTGGCGATTGTTCAAGACTCTATAACAACACAAAGATAATGTGCATTATTCAGTCTGACTCACAGATAAATGTAAGTTCTTCCCTGTCGCATAGAAAGAAAGGCGGATCAAAAACCAGCACATACAGTCGGTGTGCTTTTCGAGCTAATCGTCATCGACACGCACCTGAACGTAGCTCAAATAAAGCAAAAGGTTTTACTTTATGACTTGATTCATAAAAGCCGTTCAAGTAATAGTGCTTAATTTGCTGAGATTACTCCATGCAGACTGTTTGAAGATAACTTTCTCTGAAACGTGGCCAACCGTCGGACACTTATTCAAATCACACCGGATTAGCATCAACGCGCGAGCCGCTGAAATATGTCGACTGGATCTACGAGAGGCGATGTGCAGCATATTGCTAACATATGTATCTCCGTCCTTGACACCAGCTTCATTTTCTTTGGATCTCCACTTAAAGGAGCACTTTCGCATGTTTGCAAAACCACGCGACTCGCACACGCCGCGAGCCCTCCAACGCTCGCGCTCGTGGCCCACAGGGTTTGGGGGCGGCGAGGAGGGTGCGCTGGAGCCTTTCCAGTTGCTGATGCATTACAGGCAGATTGCCCCCCTCCGCCCCCCGCTTACACCCCCCAAATCGGATTATTTCCTGTGGACTGACACCACACTGAGATGACATCTCCTTTTGAGTGAAGAGGGAGGGTGGATGTGGTTCCACTCACACTCTGGCCTCTACTTAAGCAGCAACTTCAGTGTAATTCATTTATGTCCCAGATATGGCTTCAGCCTTTTGAATAAGGCAAGAGCACTGCATTTACCATTAGAGAAATGAATGTCACCTACAATGTCCTGTAAAAAAGAATAATAATTATTTGCTCCCTTGCAGATTTCTCCTGTTCTTACCTTTTTTATGCACTTATAAGAAAGTAATTTAGACACAAGACAAACACCAGAGTTAACACAAATGTGGTTTTTAAACAATGGTTTCATTTAGGATTAAAAAAAAAAAATCTACCTAAACCAATCTGACCGTATGTGAGAAACTAAACTATCATCCTTGTTCAACTATGAATTAACTGTAATCAACAACATTTTTTTGGGGGGTGGGGTCTAACTAATCAGGCCTAGCTATATCTAGATTTGATTTTGTCATGCGTAGTTAAAAAAAACACACCTTAAGAGCACCTGTCTCACAACATGAAGTAGGCTAAAACATCCAACGGACATCTGTCAGTTTGGAAAAGGGGTTGTAAAGCCATTTCTGAGGCTAGAGGACTCCAGACACCAACAGAGAGAATTTTTTTTTTTTTTAAAAAGAAGCAAAATTAAGGCCTGTAGTGGCCTAGTCAAAGTCCAGACATAAATCCCAATTAGATATTGTAGAGTGACCTTAAGTAGATAAATCATCCTCACCTGCCTCCCAGAGTGACTCAACTGAAATAAGTCTCCAATGACAAATTTTTCCACTCTGATGTGTAAGACTCACTGCCAGTCATCGCAAACACTTGATAGCAAAGGAAAGCATGATTGGGAAAACTGAATTTATCCATCTTTTGTATTTACTCAAGTTATCTATATCTGGTACTAAAATGTGTTTGAAAATATGAAACTGTACCTTACTAAAGCAATACCATTAAATGTTCTCTATTGCTTTTTACCGAGTACAGAGAGCTACTGTCGTAAGATGAGCCACATTCTAATATTTATACGTTC